GGTGGGCGTGTTCAAGTGCAAATCACTTTGACTCAAATTAAAGATATTATCTGTTCAACATGAAAAGAAATATATGTTTTGAGAGAAATAAAAAACTTTGCGTAGTGTCCTTTGTACAGATATTTAGTTTCATCCAAATCAAAAGTGGTATTTTAAAATGCAAAAAGAAAGGGTTTCACAATCAAATCAATGATTTTATTCTGTTTTGAATGGCACTTATTAGATTGAATGAATGACTGCATGTTAGACTTTTTTCAGTGTACTGAAAATAATTAAAGCCAGGTATTAAACCAACTAATTTGATTGAAGTCTACCACTTCTGTTGAGAAGAGTTGTCAAATATCCAAAAAGAATTAAGACAGAAACATAAAAGAAAATCCAAAATCATTTAATTTAATTCATGACAGACATATGATATACAATGATTCCACTCTGGGAAAAGATCAGTTGAAAGAAATCATTAAAAACTCCCAAATTATCATGACATGCAAACCCATAATGAGTTCATGGAAACGTTTGACCACAATTGTATGAAATGTGACCAGATCTAAGAACAGTATTTGTTTCTCTTTTAATGATCACAATAAAAATGAAGGGCAGTATGCATTTGCAGATCTGAAATAAATGCTTTGGGAATTTTCTTGTAACTATTTATTTAAAACAATCTAAATCTTTTCAAAGCACTATAATTGAAAACTGTTTAAAAGAAAAACTTTAATGCCAGTATGAACGTATGGAACTTAAATTGAAAAGTAACATACTCTAGTTTCTGGGGATTTTCCTTTTCAGCATGTGACTAAAAGCAGTCCCAGCTCTAATTCTAATTCTAGATGTGTCATTGTTGGGTGTTACGAGATTAAACCTTGTTCGGGTCATATTACCCTACATCATAATCTCAAAGGCTACACTGGTCAGCTAGTGGACATTCCTCATCGATTACTTTTCATTTGTTACCACTGTAAAGTCATGTAAAGTCATATATGATCCCATATATGAGTGTTTGGGCCTCACCTGAATATTTCTCTCCAGTCTCTGCTTGTATTGTGACATCACATCCTTCTCCTCTCTTCCACATGTCTCTGATGATAGCCAAGCTCTTCTCTCTCTCTTTTGCAGCAGAAGTTTTGATCTTTGATATGCAACTTTCTTTCAGCCTCTCCATCTGGAGACATTGAGAAGCATTTAAAACCTCCTCAATTACCCGCTCTTTACTCAAGTCCATGGCCACATGTCCACAATATGCAAACTCCATGATAGCCCCTAACCCAACTGGTGTCAAACATTGTGCAATTTCTCCCACTCCAAGCCCTGGCATTTCTTTTGAACCTAAAATTGCATTTGGGGTTTGACTGATAGCTGCTAGAACAAGCCGGTGAGCTTGGAAGGATTTTCCTTGAACGATAAAGGTGCAGTCCAGGAGTAATTCTTCCTTGCAAAGGTTGTGTAAGTGAGTGAAGAGTCTGTCTGAGTGTGAAGAGAAGTTGTAAGAGATAAGATCAGAATTCTCTGAGAGACATGAAGAAAGGCCGTGAGGAGTTTCTTGAGCTTTAGAGTCTGGTATATGCTTTGGTGTTTGAAGAATAGTTTTTGAGCTTTCTTTTATGCCACTATTGTCCACATGTGTTGCACTTTCTCTTCCGCTTGCTCCACTTCTTCTCATAATGTCTTCCTGTGTGCACTGTCACCTTATAGACTTGCTTGTGTCAGAGCAGACCGCCAGATGTTTACATTCAACGTGTACTGTACAAAGAGAGAAAAGGCAGAACAGCGAGAGTCAGGATAAGTCAGTAATAAAGACACTAGAAAAGTGTGACTACTCTATTCCTGGAAATGCCACTGTACTTATTCACTTTAACATTAGACATGCATCAATTGTCCTCATGACCTCTGAAGTGTCTTTTACGCAAAGAAAACACAACCTAGCCTAAAAAAAGTGTCAATATTGTCATCACGACAAACCTTTAAGTTCAGGAGGCAATGCTGTAATACACGAATGTGTCAAGACACAAACATCTGTCTGTTGCACCTGTTCACAGAGTTCAACATGTAACAACTTACAGTTCATTTTGACAGTAAACGTCCTCGTAAGAACAATTTCCCACGAGATATTAGAAATACCAGCAGCATACGACTTATTGTAATTTTGTACTAAGACGAGTCTTGCTTGATTACAATTGGTTAATATCTTATTTTAGATTAAGACTCTGCATAGGCACCTACCTTGCTTTTCCTTTAGCAGTGTGGGTGGAACAAGTGACTTTGACCAGTGGCATTGTGAGCATGTGGGGCGCACAAGGCACTAGAGCAGGTTTAATTATAGCATGGCACTGACACTATAAAGACTACACTACAAGAAGTTTCCAGTACGCTCAGGAACTGCCTGCTTAAAAAAGTTCAACATGAAGTGAAGTATTTTGAAGTATTACATGAAGGGACTGAAGGTGAAAACGAAGACTGAGAAGATAGTATTGCCCAAATACCTCAAATAACAACAATAACACAGCCATTACTGCTGTGTCTAAAGTCTGACAAAGCATTAATGAGTATAAATAAAACACTCTCTCACTATGTCCAGCGTACGTTTTTTAAATTGTGCTCAAAGTAACATCAGGAAAATCTATTAACCCAAAAAACAATAATATTTGTTTCATTATGTGTTTAATTCAGTTTTGTGAAAAGAAGAGTTCCTGAAAACGTTTTTAGTGCAGTCATTGTGAAAGTTCCTTCCTGTGCATTATTGACACTGATGGAAAGCATGTAGGCTGAGTCACAGATCAGCTGTGTTACTCATCTTGAAACGTATTAACTTTGTTATGTTAGTTCTACAGTTATTATTTTAAATAACACAGTTATTTATAACTTTTTTTGCAAACAAAATTAAAATCAGGTTTTGTTTTTGGAAATAAAGATTTTTAGTGGAAATAAAAAAATGTATTTCCTGTAGAAAATATCATTGGTAGGGTACTTTGTTACCTAATGTTTTTGCTTTTTTTTAAAAAAAAAAAATTCTTTCTTTTTTCTCTACTTCTGATTAGATAAAAGCCAGAAGATCATTCAAAAAGTATTCTATGACACATATTTCCATTTTAAAAATACTTTCATCTTTAGTTGCTTCAGCAGGACCCAATTACTCTCCTGTTACTCCACACTCTGCTTCTGCCTGAAACTCAGGTTTCTTATGCTGTATAACCAAGTGTTTTCTAAGAGCACAGGTACTAGAACCTGCTATTGAAAATGGATAACAGTAGAGGTTAAGGTATTGAGAAGTATTGGAAAAACAAATATTATTATAATAACAACAATCTGTTAATTTTTATCCAAAGCCCAATATAATAACTTATTTGTGTTTCAGATAACACAACTCAGATAAACATTTATTGTGTGTGTGTGTGTGTGTGTGTGTGTGTGTGTGTGTGTGTGTGTGTGTGTGTGTGTGTAGGCAAGAAAATTAGTGTATGTGTGTGAGTTTTTGCCTGAAAGGAGGGGGATGAGGTAAATGGGAGGGGATGTCACCTACCTCACTGACAGTATAAATTCCAATTATTTCACTGTGAAATGAACAAAGGCTGATTTTCCCTCTTCATTCAACAAGCAAAGAAAGGCACTGTAAGTACTGCTTTTGGTTTAACATTTTCTATAAAGGAGTTAAATTTTTTTGGATGTAAAAGTTATTATGTCAAAGGTTTAACAACATGTAATATTTATACTAGTGTGTACGTTTGTGAGTTTTAATACTAAACTAAACATCATTGAAAACAACTATTTTCCCCTTTGACACATCAGTCGAAATGATTTCTGCACATATGATCTGTAATTTACATGATACTTTTACCAGTACTTCATTGTAATATATTGTAGCTAGTATAGTATTTCAACCACATTTGAGAATATATTTCTATGGGAAATGAATTCCAATAATAATGACAAAATACTAACATGAGTTAAGAATATTCTGCTTTGGTGAATGTTATTTCTTATCCAGGTTCATGTCCTTTAGAAATAAGACATTAGCACACACTGATGTTGCATTCCTAACTGAACTATTATGAGAGTAATTACTCAAATGAGCTTCTTTTGTAAGGGTGAATCATTATCTGTACTCACCCACTGCACAAAATTACATCTAATCCTGCTGAATTTTTCTTACAAGCTTTTTATATTCACAATAAGATAACTTTAATTTCTCAGTTTTCAGTATTTTCATTAAGATGTTGGTTCAGTGATAAATCAAATGACTATAGCATGTGTTGCTTTTTCTACCAAAACGACAGAGAATTAATACTTTATTCTACCCTGCATGCCATATATGCCTAGAATAAGACAATTGGTACAAAGTGCTAAGCTGAAAAGGTTAATTTAGTTTTTCAATTTTCTTTATTGAACACAAAGCTAAAGATAAAATCAAATGATTCAAATATAAATGTTGATCATATTTGGTACAAAAGAATATTATCAATTATAAACTCATATTTTGAGTGTCTGTTGAAAAATAGAAAACAGAAACTCACACACAAATCTTATTAACAAATATGAATCAGCACTTCTAACTGCTCTCCATATTGTTCCAAAGGATTTAATTGGTCTTTTAATGGGGCAGTTCATATCCAAAAGTCCCATAGTGGGTCAAGGTACTCGCCACCATGTCCAGTTCTCAGTTGGTGAAGAAGGACCTCCCAGGTACTCTTCACACCATTTTGAGACCAACAACAGAAGAGAAGGTGCTAGCCACCAAATTCCTCCAGCGATCATTATCTCAGAGGAGGGTTCAAGGTTTGTGTTATCAACTTGTGTCTATATTTATTTTCCACCTCAGCATAATTTCCTCATCATTCCACTCAGCTGTTTGAAAAAAATGGAACTTGCAAAATTCGAATAATAATAATAAAAAAAAAGATTTTCAGGAATGAAGGAAGAAGAAATTATTAGAATCTAATGTCCATTAAAGGAACTAAACCCTACCATCATAGATATGTTTTCCGCATTTACTAATCTTTGCTATAGTTTCTCAGTTCTCATGTTTTTCCCTCTAACAGTACATCAGAGCAGCGGGACTCAAGAATAGAGCTGCGGAGATCTTCCTTCTATAGCACCATAGACCTGCTGCCACAGCTGGAGCACTATGCCAGCACGCTGCCACACCAGCAGGCAAGGAGCAGACCTTCCCTGGAGGTTCTCCGCAAAGCATTCGATGTGAGTTTTCCACTTCTGGGAGCATTTTCTCATTGCTGCTGTCTTTTAAGAATCGCGTATTGACAGTAACACCACCTGGGGGAATTAACCCCCCTAGGAAATGAAATGTTTGGCCTCTACAAACAGTGAAATGATTTTCACAGGTCTGAAAAACACAGTAGGCAAGGGATATCATTTTACGGTAAAGTTGTTAATGCAAAACCTTATTTATTTATTTATTTTGTGACGATTATTAATGAGAAATAAGCGAAACTTTTAACAAAACTGGACATGCACGTTCAACAGGGCTTTGGACTAAGCCCTGCCTCTGAGGCAAGTTAATAAAGAGTTGCTATAGTGTTTACCAGTCCTGCAGCCAGGGATTGAACATCAACCTTTCCAATTATCAGATGACCTGCTGGGTCGGCAACCCTGCGTCCAAGGGTGCCCTGGTGTCATGTGCAGTTTTCTACATCCTTATGCTTTAACATCGTGTTCATTATTCCAGTGGAACAATAGATGCCCGAGGTGGGGCACCATCCAACATTCTGCTCAGTAAAAACTGGGCTTTCTGAACTGTTCAGCGTATAATCACAAGCGATGTGATAATACAGTTAAAAAATCAATCATCAACCCTGCAACGTAGGGTGTCCTAATGACATGTGCATGCATGAACACCTTTATGGGTGACATAACAATAACAGCAACAGAACATCACTTGGAGTCAGATCAGGCAATCTGTTCTTCCCAATCATGGCACTTCAGGTCCCCCTTTGATTAACAATGTAAGCGTACAAGCCTCCCAGTAGAACAATGGAGTCCCCAGTTGGGGCACCCTTCAGCATCTCACCAGTGAATGCTGAGACTGTCCTTCACCACATAAGCATAAATGACAGCCAGGAGCTATGGAGAAACAACTCCCACTGTCCACTGGGGAAAGCCCCAACTTACAAGCAGCGCACCAGGGTGTACCTACCCCTGCCTGCCGTATATTACTGAGGCAACTACAGATTGGAACAGAGTTCAGCCCCACTCCACCAGAGTGGCATCAGAGTCCAAGATGTACATTGAGGTGAGTCTGAATATGTCTAGCCAGTATCTCTTAACCTCACACGCTACCTCAGACTCTTTACCCATTTAAGAGGCGATGTTCCATGTCCTATGAGCCACCCTTAATAGGAATCAGAATACCAGGGCCTCTGCCCTCAACTTCTGGTCGATACACAATGTACTATTTTCTATACTATTTTCAGGAAGTGGAGGGAGGAAACACCAACACAGATCCAGGAGCTTGTGAGATTTCAGCCACAGATGCTGGAAGTGAAGAGGCTCAAGGTTCTGAGGAGAAAGCTCCTGCTAGATTTGGCTGGGTTGTTGGAGTTATGGTAAGTAAAACTTCTGGGTCTTTGCATCCACTGGTCCTATAGAACAGCGGTCCCCAACCCCCGGGCCTCGGACCGGTACCGGTCCGTGAGTTGTTTGGTACCGGGCCGCGAGAGTTGAGGCTCAGGTCTGAAATGTATGGTTTTCAGGGTTTTTATCGGTTTTCAGCGTTATTTTGTTACCGTTTTTATCGTTAACTCGGTTTTCCTGGGTCTTTTCACGTGTGTTAGAATAAATCTTCTTTTTTTCGGTACCGGTACTAGTTTTATTTTGTTGTATTTATCCGCGACACCTTAAAGGCCGGTCCGTAAAAGTATTGTCGGGCATAAACCGGTCCATGGTGCAAAAAAGTTGGGGACCGCTGCCATAGAAAGTTTAAAAATACACAAAATCATTGATCTTGATCACTCTTAAGATCTGCTAATTAAAAACATATTACTTTCATTTTGGTCACAGGTTCGTTGTATGCTTAATATTTGGGGAGTAATCCTGTTCCTCCGCCTGTCCTGGATCACTTCTCAGGCAGGCATTTGTGAGTAATCAGTTCATTTGCTCCTCCATTTGTTCAGTTCTTTTGCTTTCATTTTCTTGTAAAAATTCCCCACGCCTGTTCATATAGTCTTATCTCTGGGTCATGTTGATTTAGTTAGTTTCTTAATCATATCAACATGAGCACATTGTTCGCAGAGCTTTATCATAGGAAAGCGTGAAAGTTTGAAAAGAAGGGAAAAAAATGATATCTAAATATTGACAAATGAAGTCAAGTATAGTAACTTCACCAGGAAATGAAAATATGGGATTGGGAGAAATGCTAGTTTCCTTGTTTGAAAAGTGAGCTATTTTTTAAAGTGCTGACTATGTGTGAGTCTGCTTGTTTTTTTTTTAGCACACAGTTACTACATTTATTCACTGGGATGAATAAATGTAAGTAAAGTAATTTTTAAATTGCTGAATTTTAAAGGCAGCATAGAGGGTCTATTATATCGCTGAGTATTAAAGTACATATTCTAAAATATATACACTCAGATATGGATTTGATTGTAAGGTAAATTCTTATGCATGGGCAAAGGAAAGTTCTAGAAACAAGTTCCTTTCTGGATGAAGGATGTAAACCTGATTTGTTCATAACTGAAAATTTATGATTGTGTGATTTTAATGAGTCCTAACTTTATTCTTCTTACGTTAGTGTTGACCTGGCTTATTATCCTGATATCTGTGACGGTGACCTCAGTAACTGCCCTCTCCATCTCTGCCATTGCCACTAATGGGAGGGTGATCTCAGGTTAGTCACTGTTCAAAGTAGGAAGTCAGACAAATAAACCTTATATACAGTTTGAATCTGAAAATATGAGAATACTTGGGACACCTTTAAAAATGGTTGGGCCTTTTAAGACTGGAAATCTGCAGCTGAGCTCAGAATTGTAATTTTTCAAATTTGTATGTAGCATCTAGCCTTGTATTTAGGATATGTTCTAACAATCTTGTTTGTCTGAAATAATTTGCAGGTGGGGCATATTTCATGATCTCCCGCACTCTGGGTCCAGAAATTGGAGGACCAATTGGGGTGGTTTTTTCCTTTGCCAATGCTTTGGCTTGTGCACTCAATACTGTTGGTTTTGCAGAAGTGGCCCGTGATCTAATGCAGGTAAAATGTATTGAAAGTGCTTTGTGGTATTAAATGGATGGTAGATTTGTTTTTGTAATAGAAGATGACATATTATATATAATGTAAATAATATTTCATACTAAAATGCTATGCAACAGAACCTAAATTTGGTTAATTGATGTAGGAGTTTGGTGTTGTCATGGTTGATTCAATCAACGATGTCCGTATTGTGGGCGTGATCACTGTTACGGTTCTTCTGCTGATTTCATTGGCTGGAATGGAGTGGGAGTCTAAGGTGAGCACATTTTGATATTCAACTTGACAGCTGTACTTGGACAAAGTTTTGTCTCTTAACAACTTCTCTTCCGTTTTGATTTCTTTATTTGTCTTTTTCTCTCAGACCCAGATTTTGTTCTTCTTAGTTCTTCTGGTTTCATTATCCAACTACTTTGTGGGCACATTTATTCCTCCCAATATAGAAAAGCAGGCACAGGGTATCTTTGGATACCGCAGTAAGTTTAGGTTTCTCTCAACAATCTATAGTCTTAAAAACCACATTGAATAATTGATTTGTTTGTTTCTTCCATCTTTCTTTCCTTCTTTCATAACTACCTAATATTGTACCTGGCATGTTTTCCAGCTGAGATCTTCTTAGAAAACCTGACACCAAACTGGAGAGAGAATGAAGCCAACTTTTTCCAGATGTTTGCCATTTTCTTTCCCTCTGCTATTGGCATCCTGTCTGGTGCCAACATCTCTGGAGACCTTAAAGTATGAGGGACATAAAAGAGAAATGCTCCTTAAAGTAAATATATGAATGCATTGTTTCATAATGTTTTATATTAATTGTATTTCCTATCTCAGGACCCTGCTACTGCTATCCCCAAAGGCACCCTCATGGCTATTTTTTGGACTACTATCAGCTATTTAATGATCTCTGTCACAGTCGGTAAGTTACCCAGTACATACGTATTTGATCTAAATAGGTATAAATAATTTAATTAATACAAGACAGAGGCTGAAGATGTTTAACCTGGCACTCTATAAGTTATAAAGCTGGGGACTTGTTATCTGAAACAGGTTTCCGGTAGTAGCACAAACTGAGATCAATACAGCCTTTTTGGGAGTAAATAAATTTTCATGGTTATCCATGAAAATTACATTAAAATCTGTACTTTTCCTCTAGCATCATGTGTAGTGAGAGACGCTTCTGGAAATATGACTGATATCCTGACCGGAAATCTCACTGATGGTTGTGTGGGGCTTGGATGTAAAATGGGCTGGAACTTCACAGATTGCATACAGCAGAAGAATTGCGAATATGGTCTGGCCAACAATTCAAAGGTACTAGTTCATTCAGTTAGCCACATTTTTTTTTCTCCTTTTTGTTATTGGGAAGAAAGATACTAAACCAAACAAAAGCACATTTTTGGTTAAATCTTTAACTCTTTGTCAATATTCCTGCTATATTCATTGCATTTAAAACTTTATTCTGGTTTGTCTTATACTTAATGGTGACTCAAACCAGGTCTTGGGCCAGGTTTCTGGTTTCTACTACCTCATCACTGCTGGGGTATTTGCAGCCAGCTTGTCCTCTGCTCTTGGATTTCTTGTCTCTGCCCCTAAAGTCTTTCAGGTGAGAAATCCATTAACTTTTTTCTTATTGCATTCATTATGCATTCATTTGCACTTTTATTGATGAACAAAAGATGAATCCATTATTATAATTTTAATGTACCTAATATTGCTGTATTAGAGACCAGTTTACCTGGACTTTACAAACAAAACAGCTCTCTTTTTGACACAATAATGGGCACATTTTGAATCTGCTAATGATTTAGTTATAATTAATGATTTTTAAAGTCACCTACAGTATAAAGGAAACGATTAATAAGGTAAACTAAAACGGAGCAAGCAAACAGCATGATCTCATGTAGCTTTAAAATCATTGCTCAAGTGTATTCACATTTTAAAGGAGCAAAAACATTGAGCTCAAATGTTTGATTAATGAAAGTTTGTATAAATATAGTAAAGTCTCACTTTTTTGTTTATGTTCTCTCTATCAGTGTCTGTGCAAAGACAACTTATACCCATACATTGGGTTCTTTGCAAAGGGTTATGGGAAAAATGATGAGCCGCTCCGGGCTTATGTGCTATGCTACATCATTGCTGTGGCCTTCATTCTCATTGGTGGGTGTGATCAACATGGCTAACACATTTTCACCTCTTACTAATGTTGTGATTCCCATATAAAATGTCTTGTCAGCTCTAAATTTGTAGTGTGGTTTTAAATACTCTCTCATCTGTGTCATTACAGCGGAGCTGAACACCATTGCAGCTCTGATCTCCAACTTCTTCCTGTGTTCCTACAGCCTTATAAACTTTAGCTGCTTTCATGCTTCAATCACCAACTCCCCAGGTGAGTAACATATTCAGTAATTAAGCTATACTCAATATTAAACACGTTCACATTAAAACATTAGTTTGGGTAATTTCTAAGGTTTAGTACATTTTGTTCAGTCACACTAATAAGAGAGTTTGCTACTCTATAAAAGCATGTGACAGCCAGATTTTCCAGAGTTTAGCATGCGCACAAATGCCCACATACACAACCACCACTCACCAGTTTATTCCTGCTTGGCCCCAAAATTAAACAGACCCCCATTATGAGGTCGGAAGAAAAAACAAATTGTTTATATGCAGCTTAGTGTGGAAAAGAGATCATCAATCTGACTTCAGTGGAAACTCATATTGCTCCTACAACCAGTGATGGTAAGACAAGGTTTTATGTAACACTCAAATCAATTCTACCAAAATTGTATCTATCATACCAAGTTATATTGGAGAAATCTCCATACACAGAGGTCCACATAGATCTAACCCGCTGTGAGATTAAGTGCATGACAGTTCTCTAGTTAAAGTTTTGGCAAGAGAGTCAATGTGTTTCTATTTTGACAAAATCAACTACGTACAATTCAAAGCTCTATAACATTTAACAGCAGGTTGCTGGTAATGCCTAAAAAACAAACACAAGAAATCATACATAATGTAAATGTAGGCCATAATGGGTGGACATTGGGATCAGAGTTCTGGCCATGTAGCATTACAAAGTCTGCCCTGTGCCACTTCATAATCCTTTTCTCACCGACTCCTCCTGTAGGTTGGAGGCCCTCATTTCACTACTACAGTAAATGGACGGCTCTGTTTGGAGCAGTGATATCTGTGGTTCTGATGTTCCTGTTTACCTGGTGGGCTGCTCTAATCACCTTCTGTATAATCTTCTTTTTGTTTGGATACATCAACTACAATAAACCAAGTGAGTCAAAAACCATAAGTTTTTGAGCGTAAGTTGGAATTGAGCAGTACTTTGGTTAGAATAACATGCCTCAGATTCATAAATAGAACAGAATGCATCAACGTGTACTTTACACTTCTTTTTTTGTTTTTTGCATTTCTCATGTAAGTGTCTTTTGAAATCAACAGAGGTAAATTGGGGTTCGTCAGTCCAAGCAGGCACATACAACATGGCTTTGTCATACTCTGTCTCACTTACTGGTGTGGAGGATCACGTCAAGAATTTTAGGTGAGTGATCTAAAATTTCAGTTTAACAAGTCAAAGCTTCTCATGCAACATGCACGAGTGCTAAAGTCTATAAGTGTACTCGTTAATGCTCTTTTCTAATAGTATTAATCGATTTTAGTTTCGAATTTATATTTACTGGATTTCATCCAGGAGCTTCCTCTTTGATCCCTAATGTCTTTTTTTCAGACCACAGTGTCTAGTCCTCACTGGACCTCCAAACCAGCGACCTGCACTGGTGGATTTTGTTGGCTCATTCACAAAACATATAAGTCTTATGATCTGTGGCGATATTATCATGGTGAGACATCCGCTCAGCTTTTTCTACAAGAAAACAAAATAAATTATTAGCATTCTTGTGGTAAAATAGCCACACCAAACACTTTTTAGAGTTATCCTTTGTTGTAATTGGATATGTGAGTTCCTGAGTTTCTTTTCCAGGAGCCTGAGAGGCAGACACGACCACAAGATGCTACAGATCAGCTAGTTAAATGGATGAACAAGAGGAAAGTGCGTTCGTTTTATACTCCATTTACAGCTGAGAGCCTCAGAACTGGAGCTCGATACTTAATGCAGGTATCTAGTTAATATTGTTGTGGTGTAATGTGACTTTAAATGCCCTGAAAGTTACCAACAAATTATTAATATTACTATTAGCATGTTTCTGCCATTAGAACTAGTTTGTATTCTTACCTGTACCTGGCTTTTATGCTTTTTGTTCAAAGGCCTCTGGTCTTGGCAAGCTGAAGCCCAACACACTGGTCCTTGGCTTCAAGTCAAACTGGAGGGAGAGTTCATCTGAAAGCATTGAAGATTACATTAACACCATATAGTAAGATGGTCCTTTAATGGTGCATTTAATAGATATGAAAAAATCATGTCTTTTCTTGTGGATTTTTAATTAGTATTGCTATTCTATTTATTTTATATTATGTGTGTATTTTTACTGTCTTTGTAAGGCAGTATAAAATATAGTATTTATAAAATAGCCTAAAGAATAGTTGCAATAGAACAAAGTCTTCTCAACTTACTCATCTTCTCTTGCTTTTCTTCAGTGATACATTTGACGCCAACTTCTGTTTGTGTATCTTGAGGATGATGGACGGGCTGGACATCTCTGACCAGTTTGATTGTGAAGGTCTGATGAGTATAAATAAGTAGAAGATTCTCTAAGTGCTTAACAGCAACATGATACATTTGTGGCAGTGGTTGACAACATATTTTTCTCTTCTTTTTTTTAGAAAACCAGGGCTTTGAGCTTGATGAATCTGCTGAAAATTATGACCATCAGTCTCCAGACAGGGACTCGGGTAAGAGCTACTTGTGTGCATAGGTACATATTAGATTACTGTACCAAGTCACATTAAATTTCAAGTCAAAATCTGTAAATCATAACTGCTGTGATTGCAACTAAAGTACGGGAAGGGATTTTTCTTAGAACTGAAAAGGATATCGGATTTAAATAAGATTTCCACTCTGTAATTTCAAAACCTATGATTGCATTTCTTAAAGTTCAAGATTAAAGTTTTAAATTGATTTAATTTGACTAAAGTACCTCTAATGGATTGTTCCCTTCCTAAATTGATATGCACTGCAATGGTGCTTAGGATAATATATGAGAGGATGAGGACAGTGAACAAGAAATCATTATTGCACTGGCACACCTTAGATTGCATTATAACTTTCTAATTATTAAGGCAGTAATCACTGCCCACACATATCACACGCTTTCTCTTGTGTTTGCAGCTGATGACGTGTCCGACAACAGCAACAGTGATCAAATCAAAACAGTGTTTCAGAACACCCAGGGGAAAAAGTCTATCGATGTCTACTGGATAGCAGATGATGGAGGTGAGCCCACAGAAGTGCTTTTCTTTCTTTTTTTCCCCCTGTCCTGCCCGGCAGTGTAGCAATAAATAAACAAACAAACAATGGCAAAAAAATAAGTCAGAGGAGCCTCTTCAGTTTATTCTTCTAATAAATAAACAAAAAAATAAATAAATTTGAGTTGGCCTGGTTTTCTTAGCTGCTGTCATGCTCTTCTTCTATTTTCAGGACTGACTTTACTGGTACCTTACCTGATCACCAGGAGAAAGCATTGGCGTAACTGTAAGATCAGGGTTTTCATCGTCGGAGAAGAACAAAACATGGACGAAGGCCGTAATGAGTAGGTTTACTCTGTTTCGCCCGGGGGGAAAGTGTTGGCTTTTGCATTGGCAAAATTTGTGGTTATTAAGATGATTCAGAATTACTCTTTTCCTCTAAGAACTGAAAATGTTCACTTTGAAGATTTTACAACAGACAACAAATTTGGAATTATTTATTTATTGTTTTTTCAAAAAGAAAAAATTAAATGTAGGTTTTCATGCAGTTTGATATGTCTGTGTTTGGATGTAATTCTTTCAGACCCTTTGGTGTTTATGGACATACTAGGAAAGGGCGCTTTATGATTTCTGGAACTTGTGGACTGTTGTGTGTTTCAGAATGATTGCTCTGCTGAAGCGCTTTCGTCTACATTTCAGTGACGTTATTGTCATGACAGACAGTGAGAAGCGCCCTCAAGCCAAGAAGTATGTCAGAAAAAAGTTGCAATTACCACCACGAGGCACACCTATGTGAACGTGTTTTTCTTCATAGCAGTTGTGTTTTGCTTTGCAGCATGACTAGGTTTGTGGACAGTGTCGCCCCCTTCAGGCTGCATGATGAACAGCAGACAGGCGTCACAGATCAGGAGCTAAGACAGAGAGAACCATGGAAAATATCTGATAAAGAGTTTGAGGCCTTCAAACAAAAGGTGTGTGTGTGTGTGTGTGTGTGTGTGTGCGTGTGCGTGTGCGTGTGTGTGTGCGTGTGTGTGTGTGTGTGAGTGTATCATTGACATCCAAAAGGTCCAGAGCAAAACATTTTAAATGTATCTATGCCTTATGATTGTGTAATATCCCCACGTTATGTGACACTAAGTCAGTTTCCTACTTGTATTTCCTTTATTCACAGTCTGAGAGAAAAGTACGGCTGAATGAAATCATCCGCAGGAATTCACAACATACTGCCCTTGTGCTTGTGTGAGTACACGGTTTATATCGCAAGTCATATTTAATAGAAATCAAAGTTAGTTAGGATCTCCCATTTCCCTCATAGTCCCCATATTTATATGTACACAGTTTACTAAAATCATCATGCGTTAGGATTTAACTAATACTGCACTGAAAATATAAATCTATTACTGTCCTGCTACCCATCATGTAGCAGACTTTGTTCTTGTTTTACTGTCCCTGCTTATGTAATTGTTATTTAATGATTTTTTTTCTTCCCCACGTAGGAGTCTTCCTGTGCCACACAGTGACTGCCCCAGTGCTCTTTACATGGCCTGGCTGGATACTCTCACCTGTGGCCTTCATTGCCCTGCAGTGCTCATACGAGGAAACCAGCAAAATGTCCTTACTTTCTACTGCCAGTAAATTGTATTTTATTGTGAGACAGTCATGGAGGACTATTTTTATTTTTAGGAGTCACAAAACTAAAAAATTCAAGCCTTAGAAGTGAACAATAATTAAAAAAAAAAAAAAAAACAAGACAGAGAGAGTGCAATATTTGCCAAATTAGGGTTTAACAAATCTGGTGAATAATAAGGAGACAAATCGTAAAATTAAGATAGACACATGTTACATGAATGATTCTGAGAAGGTCATTGTAAGTACTCTCCCCTAATACAAGTGAATATCACCGTATCTCAACCCAAGCAAGAACATTTTGGAAGCCACCACTTTTATCAAACTGCTAAAGAAGGTGACATCTTTTAGAAAAATTATGTCCATCCCATCAGGAGAGTCCCAAAGGCTTGGAACATCAATGTGAATTAAAGGTCTTCTGGTAACAAAGAAATGAATCCAAGATCTTGATAATGTTTAAGTGAACATATATTTGAAACAAAACTGTCTTGTTTTAGCAAGCTAGTTACTAAGTCATTTGTGAAAAATGTAGTATGAAGTATAAAACAACTGCTGACAATTTTAGTGAGTAACAAGAGAAAGTAGCATCCAGTGCTAATGTAAATTAAACAGAGAAGAATATTAGACTTGGTGGACTCCTTTACAGTCCACCACTGATGGGTAGGGAAACTTTTTGCTCTTTATGGTTAAACTTGTACTACATAACCACCAACTTTGTTGTTAACACACGATAATGTAACCATGTTTGAAAACTGAGACACAAATTGTTGATTTGAAAGTGATAATTGTAAGTAAATGTAAATTAGTAATACTTTTAGACTTTACATTGTATTCACTATATTTGTCAATATCTTTTACATTTATATTTGTTTGCTTAATCTGTGATGTGTTTTGTAGAATATTAAATTATGTATAAACTCTTCTAAGATGAGTTATTCTGTTGACATTTTCCAAAGGTAAAAATTTAAAACCTCTGAGTTGTACTATTTAAATGCTGACAAGCAACAGCAGGAATATAGAACTGTAAAAGACTAATATTCTGTTATAAAATCTGCTGTTCCTCAAATCGCTACTTGACATTTTCCCAAAAAGCAAGTCACCCTCTAATTTTACACCCATTGTAATACTGAATATCAGTAACTATAAAAATAGGCTGCAGTAAGTACAGTTAACCTTTTACATTACTTCTATCAATACTCAGTTGCATGTGCAACATTATGTGGAATAAACACTGGGGGCATTTGTTATTATTTTTGGCACTAAGCAACATTAAGTCTGGATTAATCTGCAGACGGGTTACAATAACATGGAAATGCATCACCAACAGATTAACTATAAGTAGATAAAAATTACGCAAAAAACTTGTAAGTAGACATACTGTAAAAGACCAGTATGTAGAGTAAAGTGCATTGCAGCAAAGCTATTAATATGAAATGCTATATAATAATTTAGATGTCACTTACTCACATTATCAGCATTAATAGTGTTAAAGATTTTTAAAGGCATCCTTCATTGACAACATTGTGTCTCTTTGACTTCACATAATGAATAACAGATTTTTAATAACAATAAGTTACAGAGTGATAACTTGGATCAGACCATTGATACTGTTAAATACAGCTATAACTGTAGGAGTTTTCAGCCTCTTTGATCGGGGGGATTGATCTCCCTGATAGCTGTGATGTAGTTTAAAACAAATTTTGATTAATTAAAAAATAAAATAAATATTTTAAAATTCTTTTTTTTCCTTAGACATATGCTTAGCTATGATATATATGTCTGCTTCTTCCGAATCATGAGATTATTGGTTCTTACAGCAAAAATTTGAGCAATGCAACAGTCTAATTGAACACCTATGCTCTGTAGAAGGTACTGGGAATATCTAAAGCAGATTTAAATGTAATACTTTGAACCAGAAAAAAATAAGTTAATGCTTAAAGTTTTATTGCTAATTAACCATGTTTTTCTTTTACTTTTAACTATAAATTAAAACAATATCCCCGCCCTTTATGTGGGTGCATGTTCAAAGGCAGAGGCGGAGCCAGACATTTGAAACACCCGGGGCTTAGCCCTAAAGGGTAGTATGCATGTGGGACAGTTCTTTTCCTGGTGTTTTGGTTGACATCTCTGGATTTTCCCATGTCACAGAAACAGGCTCTGTGTTTTGCCTTATATGCATCCACAGGTGTGCCACCAGTTTACTCACATGGACTCTACTAACCTATCAGAAGCTTCTTCAGCTCAGAATGGAATCGTCTGGAGTTTTCTTATTAATTAACAATAAACTTAGTGTATATGTACTCCTAAATTTGATGAAAGTGATAAAAAATAGACAGCTCTGTCTCTCTTTATTCTGACATTTAACTAATTCAAAAGATATTTCAATATTTATCTAAAACAAAAGTTTACTCTAAATTGATGTTGTACAGTAAAAATGTTTTCTCCCTAAAGTGTATGTAAATATCTGGTTACAAATGTGAATATCCTGCTGTGTACTGAAATCCCTCTTGTTTTGCATAGAAATATACTGAACAACATACAAAGCATAATATATAAAATAACATTTACCTGAGTTTTTTCTTTGAAAGAACCCTCTAATGTCCATTCTTATATTTCAGTACATAACTGAAACCGATTTAGTCGGGGAGGGTAAGAACTGAAAATATGAAATAAACACACGTAAGCTAAGACTCTCTAAAAAAATAGCATTTGTTCGGCTTTTCATTTCGCCATTTGTTGATTCACTTGAAGAGCAAGTAACGTAATATTGGTCAAGTGATCAGTTTGATATCAATCTTTCGTGATGCACCGTCATATTTACATTATTTGTACGGTACGAATGATTTGCTTTGGTACCTGGTCAAACTTAAGCTCTCCTTAGTATGGCTGGCTCCGTTTCTCCAACAGCGCACTCACAGGCAGCAGCTGCCCCGCCCCCTCGCTCAGTCGCTTAGTGCCTGAGCTCGGATCATACCAATATCAGGGGGGATTCACGCACAGTCGTAAATTCCCACAGTGTGCACTATGTGCTTCGAATATTGTGTGTAGTTTTTGTTTTATACAGTTGTCAGCCAGGCATCTAACTATGAAAAAATTACACTCCAAAAGACCCCGGGCTTCTGACAAAACAACCCGGGCTTAAGCCCAGTAAGCCACCCCCACGCTCCGCCCCTGTTCAAAGGTATCTTGTACACTAAAAGATCCATGTGTTTTCTTACAATGGACCAATATGTAATATTTATGCTAAATCTTATAGTTTGCTTTGGTTCCCAAGTGCTCCCTCATCATGATTTCAAGAACTCTTTAATAGGTTAACTATAATTAAACAGTACATTTATCACAATCCTGTGTGGGTGCTGGCTGCAAAATGCAGCTGATACAGAAGAAATTCCTGGTATTTTGGCATGCTGCATTTCAAATACTAGGATGTACCAAGTCTTTTTTTCTGGCACATTAAATACGAGATGCCTCACTGTATTATGCTAATGGTAGCTAAACATTTCAAATGATGCAGTGAGTCAACATCAGTTTCCATCTCACTTGAAAAACTGAAGACAAACAGCAACACCGGCCATTAAATGTGCAATATGTGGGGGCAACATCCTAACATGACCTCTTGCTGAGGTCACCTTCTTTAAACAATGTGCTAAGGCTATTTATGATGTGCACAAACCTGACATTGTTAACTAATTAACTAAATGGCAGAACATTATTAACAGTTTAAATTACTGGTTAATCTATGGATCAAAATTTCAGTTTTTGTTTTTTCACGTTTTATAAAAACATCAATATGCTAATATATCTATATTTATAGGTATATAATACATAAATAATACTATTTCGCTGTAGGCTTACTCTCAGGCCTACAACTAAGCCAAACTAAAACACACAGACAAATCCTTCCCTTCCTTATTCCTCTGATCTAAACAAATTTAACACATCATATTATAATAATTATTTTCTTGTACTCACAGCACTAAAATTAAATTCAATGAACAAACAATTTGTAAATAGATTTTTTTTTTAAACTAAGGCAATAAAGTTGGCACAATGGTGCACTGTTTGGCATCATTGCATTAAAGGGTCCCCAGATTTGAATATAACTCAGCTGGTCCCCTTTCAAATGGAATTTGTATTTTGAACAATAACTGTGCTGCATGGGTTTCTCCCAGAATTAGTGCTGTGAGTACAAGAAAATAATTATTATAATATGATGTGTTAAATTTGTTTAGATCAGAGGAATAAGGAAGGATTTGTCTGTGTGTTTTCGTTTGGCTTAGTTGTAGCCTGAGAGTGTGTGTAATTCTTTAGAGAGAAAGGAATTTATGGACACTGGGGGTCTGGTGTCATAAAAGGAGACAGGAAGCTACAGTTGGGGATTGCTGATGCTTGTACCTTTAATAAAAACTCATAATTGTTATAACTCCACATGCTTATCCGTAAATGTAAGACAACAAGAGACCAATGGCCCAGTAGATGCAGAATGGGAGTCTCAGTGTAGTCTCAGGAAATCAATATGTTAACTGTGTTTTGTATGTTGTGTAGAGGAATTTGGTGTAGCTTGGGTGAGGAGATTACTTTTATGACCCCCAGGAAGTCACGCATACAGAGACACACATACACAGTGCTTTGACTGTTACAACGCACCCACACCTACATGCACACTCACTCACGTGCTCGTGCATACACACACAGACACAGAGTTTGCAGCACACCATAAGGGTTTTATGATGGGGTCGCTTCTATAAAGCTGACTGTAACAAACAAAAGGGGGAAGATCTGCAGAGGGACACCGGCCTTGCACATCTCCCCTTCTAGAAGATGCATGCTTAACTGAAGATGAATAAAGGTTTTGTGAAATGACTACTGAGTCCTGTGCCGTCTCTGGATGCCTCGAGGAATAAAAAAGAACCGGGGTGAAACTGGTTTCGTAACAGTGCCTAATTATAAAGTCAGCAGATATTTACATGAAGTTTTAAATTGACGCTGACAATTACAGGTGTAAAAACATTGATTTTATGCCCCAAAAATGCTATAGCATATTTATTGAACTTGTAGGTAATTATATTTTATTTTTGTTTATATCATCAATACAAATGTAAAACAGTTACTAAATGAGCTTGTGAAATGAAAGTAAATTAGTACCTTTATAGGGTTTTTTTCTCAGAAAAAAATCTAAATCTTTCTATGCATCTATATTTAAAACACGTGTCAATAGAGTATGTTTGGGGAGTGCGATTGTCTGTGCGGCAGAGCCCGCGGGCACGCCACTGCAACCCCCTCTGGCCTCTGCTCCGTAGCTGCGGGGTGACCTCTCCTTTGGGGCTCTACTCAGCTCTTCCCAGGAGGGTGGCACGGTTCCCCCTTTGGTGGTCCTCCTCGGGTCCTTGTACTCTGGGGCCTCTGGATATCTGGGGCCTGGATCTCCTCCATACCTGCTTCATACCCTGGAGGACGGGGCTGTGGCTCCCCACACTCCCTAGCAGATCGTTACATGGAGAAACCTTTGGAATACAAGCATGCTGATCCACACAGGTATGCACACAGGTGTACACACGGGTATTCACAGACGCGGACTACAGCTTTCTTGGCTGCTGCCTCAAAGCACATTGTGCGCTGTCTATCTTGCGTGCTGCACAATATCGTTTATTATTTAGTATCTACTGATATCTACTGCTAGCTAGTTTATTGTGATGGTGCTGTTTTTTTTATTATGTTGCTCTTTGTTGTTTGCTTTCTCTTCTGTTTTTTTTCTCCATACAGGTGATCCAGGTGTTTTGTTTGTTTTTTCTTTCTTTCCCCCCTTCTCACCGTCTCTTCTCCCCTTTGGTTTTCTTTCTCTCCCTCTCTTTCTTTCATTCTTTCTCC